GAAAATGTATTCTACAGAATATTAATCCCAGAATATGCTTTGAGAGAAAAAAAATTACACAATTAAACTTGTTTACAAACATCAGAAGCCCTATTTCCCTTTTGAAGATCATAGAACTTTATTGGCACAACAAAAGTCATCTCTTTTGGCATACAGTGCTGATAACATCCCTCTGAACCAAGAAAAAACTAAAGTAGCTCCTAGCTAAACAATAATCTAGGATTCTGGAAATAAGGTGAGTGATCTAAACCAAAGCAGCAAAACAAGAAATATAAGCCAAAGGGATAAAATCAAACAAAAAGTATATATAATTAGGTAATTAAAAGTAAGGCTGGTCATTTGAGATTACAAGGAGATACAGGAACTTGATATTGAAGAGAGGTGTCAATACAGGCAACCTATGGTAAAATCTCAATACAGATCTCTCTGTGTCAATGGAGACCACCAGTAGATGCTTTTCTCCTCTTCATATTATGGTCATCTGACCCTGCTGAAGAAAAAGATAGCTGCACCTGTACTGTCACTTAGAGCTAAAATTTCAGATTTTGAATGGGTGTTCACATTCTCCTTAGAAATTGTAACTCTAGGAAGAATAAAGCAAGATCAAAGTGTCCTTTCTAGATCCACTGACTGCCTCCAATTGAAATGGAGTTTCTAGGGTAAGTCAGAAATCAAAATTCCTTTGACTGTGGTCAGAATGAAACTTCCCTGAGTTCTTGGCAAATATTGAAAGCCTAAAAGAACACATTTTCTTACTCAGAAAATAAGTGCACAGAGAGTAAGTGCTCCAGCCACTGGAGGGAGGCAGAAATTATTCTTATGTAAGTGGGAGATTATAAACTATTTCAGAGTTACAAAGATCTCTATATTACTTGTTGAAAGCATTCTCATACCTATTGATTCACTTGGTCATCATGAATGTCCTCTGTGGTTTTTTTTTTTTTCCTAGTGTTTTACAGATGACAACAGCCATTACCACTACCTGAGAGGCATTGCCCTGGGTGTTAGGTATTCATTGTCCCATATAGTCCTCATGGCAACTCTTTGAGAAAGGCTTATATTACAATTTCCATTAAATACCCAAAAGCCCATGTGGTACAGCAAAAAAACAATGTCATAGCCTGGGTTTGAAACTCAGTCTCTTGGATTCTGAAGACTATACTATACCATCTCTGACTTGTCAAAAACAGTAAAAGGCCTGCTTGTGAACATTACCTTGGAATTCCCTCCATTCCTGACCCAGCTCACCTAGTTTACTACTTTCTCTATGGTGCCATGTTTCAGGCTGCCTCAACCCTACTTAAGTCAATAAGATTTAGCTGGTTTTAGCTATAGTCTAAATGAGAAGTGGGTAATCTATAGCCTGTGGGTCAAGGTGGGCCTGCCCTCTGTTTTTCTATGGCTCATGAGCTAAGACTACTTTTCACCTTTTACATTAAAAAAAAAAAAATCAAGACTATTTTGGGATATGCAACCGTTATACAAAATTCAAATTTCAGGGGCAAAAATAAAGTTTTGTTTGAACACAGTCATGCTTATTCACTTATGTTTTGTCTGTGGCAGTTTTCCTACAACTGTGACTGTTGAGTAGTTGCAGTAGAAACTTATGGCCCATAAAGCTTAAAGTATTTATTAGTGGCTCTTAACTGAAAAACTGCTGACCTCTGGGCAAATTCTAAGGGACATCTTTGTTTGTTTGAAGAGCAACAAATGGAGGGAGTCAGAGGCTTTCATTATATACAACATAGAGAAGAGATAGGAACACAGGCTCAAGTTTGGATCCCAGCTCTGCCATCCAGGAGCCACAGGGCTGACAGTATCCAGGTTATTGAATATTTGGGCTCTTTGATTTGCCTCATTTGAAAAATAGAACATTGACACCAAACTTGCAGTTCTGTTGTGAACTTTTAATAAGGTATTATGTGTAAAGCTTCAGGCAAATGGTATTGACCCTTCAAGTTAATGGAATCTACTTGCCTGTTGGTGGTACCTTCCTGTTGCTTTGGTGTTAATATGTTCACGTGGCTGGGGAATTAGAAATCTCTAGTGATAGCTGGTATATATATAAAATGAAAGTGCTGCAAGGTAGATGGATTGATAGGATAAATTATACATGGTAAGATGTAGCAATTGTTTTCCCCTGGGTGAATCTGACAAACAATGATGCTGTGCTGTGTTGATGGATTAAGCAGTTATACTCAATGAAGCCCTGCTATTCCACCCACCTCCACCTGATATGATCATCATTAAAGCCAATACCCAAATACAGAAGGCTGCAAGGTGAGTTAGAAATACTTAGCCATTTCATCTCTCCTCTGCCAGTGTTGCAGATAAACCCAATCCAATCCCTTTAAAAAACAAAAATAAATAAAAGTAATTGTGCTTTCATTTTAACTCAACATCTGAATTCTAGTTCACTTGGCATTTTATCTGCTCTTCCATGATGAACAAACCTCAAAAATATCCTCAAATAATTTTTTTTTTACATCTAACAACAAAAGCAATGTTTATCTTCTTTTCCTCTATATGCCCAGAAGATTGCAAAGCTAAACTCTACAGTGGCCCAATTCACACTCTATTAGTGAGTATGTAGAGAAAAGAATTTTCTCGAGACTAAATATCTGGGGACGCCTGGGTGGCTCAGTGGTTGGGCATCTGCCTTCAGCCCAGGGCATGATCCTGGAGACCTGGGATCAAGTCCCATATCGGGCTTCCTGCATGGAGCCTGCTTCTTTCTCTGCCTGTCTCTCTCATGAATAAATAAACAAAATCTTAAAAAAAAAAAGACTAAATATCTGGGAGAACTTTAGTCCTCAAAACTCCCAAGCAACTGTATTCATTCCTGGGAGGGTTGGTGAGTGGGGAGGGAATGCCAGTGACAGGCAAATTCTTTCTTCTCTTTCTTCTTTTTAAAAAGATTTTATCCATTTATTTGAGAGAGAGAGTGAGAGAGCTTAAGTAGGGGAGTGGCAGAGGGAGAAGGAGAAGCAGGATCCCCACCAAGCAGGGAGCCCAATGCGGGGCTTGACCCAGGACCCCATAACCATGACCGAGCCAAAGGCAGAAGCTTAACTGACCAAGTCACCTAGGTGTCCAGAAACTTTGTCCTCTGTGTATATACACTTAAGCAAAGGGTTCACCCAGAGCTAGCCTCTGTCAAGCGTGACAAACACACTTTCTCCTATAATCTCCTTCTAGGTTGCAAAGTGCTGTTGAGCAGAGACATGTTTTAGTCATTGATATTAGGATGAATTATTTTTAAAAAATCATACTCCCCTTCCACACTATACACACATACTCCCTGAGGTTTGGGGTTTGAGAATGGATTTTCTTCTTTTCCTTCCCCCGTACTTCCCTCCTTTTCTTTCTTTCTTCATGTTTTCTCAGAGACTGGGAAAAAAAAATCTCTTCTCATAAAGAGATGTCAGAAAATAGATGGCCTAGTGCAGAAGGGGGTTTGGGATGGATGAATATCACTCTAAAATTAAATCTTGTTAGGGGTTGTCTGCTCTAGCAGTTAGTTGGCACTGCTTGGCTCATCGGAAAACATCAGAAGAAGTAGAGAGGTAGAAATGGTTATGTTTGTGAGGGAGCTCTATCTTTTAGTATGAACAACAACCCAATCAAAAAAAGCTGTATTAAAGCCCTTTAGAAGTGAGGAACCTGAGGTTCAGAGGGGTTAAGCAATTATTCAAAGTTGCTTAGGAGCAAGTGACTTCTTACAAGATTTCAGGTGCATTGACCTTCTCCTGTTTTTGTAATGACTTAATAGACCAGACTGTGCATAGGCACATTCTTCCTCATAATCAGGAATAGTTGTCTCTTTGGAAACAGTGTAGACAAAATGCAGAGCTGACTGGTTATTTTCTCTGCCACTACAGCCACCTCTGGATAGACAGGACTTGAGATGTCCAGAGGAAAAGGATCAAGCATAACTAACCAGTGTGTAACCATGGAAAGTCACTACCATGTTTGAGTGTAGCTCTGGTAATTGTGAACTAAAAAGATGACCATACTCTGTAGTCAAATTTAAGAGTCATCCTTGGCTTTATGAGACCAAGAGTGAAACAGACCTCTAGAATAGTGGCTTCTATTTAAAATCCTTGTAATAAATACAGTGACTAAATCTGCAACTTCTGAGCCTAACAACTTGCTAGTTCTTAGGGGGAAGTAGTAATTGGACAATCAGAATTAGGGTTTGGGGGAAAGAACGTAGACTATGAGTCAAAAGGCTTGATTTCTAGTTTTGGCTGTTCCTTGACTCTGTAAGAGGTTGGACAAATCTCTTGACTCTCCAGACCCCAGATTCCTCATTTGCAAAATGAAGAAATAGAGTGAAGTGATGTCTAAAATCTTGTCCAACATTCAGTCTATAAACTTCCTATTAAAATAACCAGTGAAATTCTAACATTGTGAATTGTATTTCCCAGCTATATGAAAGAGTATGCTATATTTTTCCTGCTCACTCTGTCTCCCCTTTTCTTTCTTCCATTTTCCACACTTTGTCCTCTCTCCTCCAGCCCCTTTTCCCCAGGAAACAGAACCTCAGTTAGGGTATTATTTCCTGATGCCTCCAAAGCAACAGTGATTCGTGCCTTCTTGAAATTCATTGTCCTTAGGAGACGTGCTGTATATGCCACTTAACTCACAACTGTCTTTCTGCCTCCAGTTCCAGGTCTTCAAAGTTTCCGCTCTTTCTTAGTTTTACTTTTCTGGTTTCACCAAAGACCGTATGGAAGCCAAGAGCAAATATGTTGAAAAGACTCAAATATCTTCTTTTTCTCTTTGCTTTCCCCACTGCCCTTTCCTGGCGGCTGCTGAGACAAACTCTCACTAAGATCTTGGGAGAGCTGCAAGCAGGGTGTTAGGCTGGGGGAGTTTGTTTTACTTAACTATTTCTGCCCTAACCAAAGGCTTATCAGTCTAAATGTGAAAATAGTAATAGCACACAACTCACAAATGCCAGCCCCACCATTGTTCCCGCTGCCTCTGATACTCACAGTTCAACGGCATTCCTGGGGAGGTCAGAGGGAATTTCTGTCACCTTGCTCTCTTGGCAGAGGAAAACCCTGTGAGAGCAGTGACAGATCCGATGATGACATCCTGAGCCTAAGCTCAGGAATGCCAGCAAGAAGACCAGGAGCAAGGCCATACTTATTCATCCATCCACCTGCTTTCTTCCTGCATCTGCAGAGAAAAATCTCCACAGATTTCAGAAGCTCCACACAGCGCCCTTATGAGAAGAGATCTACCGGGGTCACATGACCCACCAGGGGATGTGTGTGTGTGTGTGTGTGTGTGTGTGTGTGTGGCCACTTTCAGACAAATAGCAAAATTCTTGTGTGCCAGTAGTGACTTCCGGGGCAAGATAAGCTACGCCCTTATCCTTCTCTATTGGATTTCTTCCACCCTGACCCAAGGAAGCCAGCAAATAGAACTTTGATGTGTGTCTGGAATTATTTACATTAATTATACTGTAGAAGTGTCCCTGCTGATCACTATTCTCTTTTCAAGAAAGCGACATGATTGACTTTCTCCAGAAAAGACATGACTCACATATGATGTGAAATACCAGTAAGAATGTCACTTAGTGAGGGGTGGGGACCCATTTCCAGTCTTGGCATCCACATCTTTCTCCCTCCCATAAAACTGAAACTTCTGGGTCGTAGTCACAAGTCCTCTTTCTTGCCCTAACTAATAACTAAAAATGGTGTTGCTTAGAAGACAGGTGGGTGGGCTAGTGGGCCCTGGGCAGATATCCCCAGGTAGCAGGCACCTCTGAGGGGGCGTCCACAGAGAGAATTGACTTCTCTGAGTGATTTGAGGAACGGGCTGTCTTTTCAGTTGAATTTAGGGGACATTAGCAGAGCACCCTCTGTTGTGGATCCTTTCAGGCTTCTCTCATTTTCAGGCTCAGAAGATTGCCTCTGCCTTTGGGACATTGGCACAAATGAATTTATCTAACCTGTGCTTTTAAGTGCATTTTAAATGGCCCCTGTAGGTGAGAGTCCTGGCACTTTGGCATTCTCAGTTGGCTTGATGGTACAGGATCTGGAAATATTTGGTAACGTTTTCAGTAAAGTGGCCTTCTACTTCCAACTCCAGAACCTATGATGATGATTGATTATTTATTTATTTATTTATTTATTTATTTATTTATTTATATTTTTTAAAGATTTTATTCATGAGAGACAAAGGCAGAGACATAGGCAGAGGGAGAAGCAGGCTCCATGCAGGGAGTCTGATGTGGGACTCTATCCCGGGTCTCCAGAAACATGCCCTGAGCCAAAGGCAGATACTCAACTGCTGAGCCACCCAGGTGTTCCCTCTATGATGATTTAAAGGCAGAATATTCTCTAAGATCCTGTGTACAATTTATTACATGCTAAAATTAGTTTCAACGCTATTTTTAAGTAATTAGTTGCATAAGATTGAGTTAGGTGAAAATACTAAACGTATATATTTTTCCTTCTCCTTCCTCCCTCTCCCCTACCTCATTGAAGAATAATGACTTACAATGAAAGGATTAAATTATCTTTAAGGGAAAAACAGGAGCAAATGACTTTTAGGGTGAAATTGTCCCCTAGCTTTTTCTGGGAGCAACTGATTCATTTTAATTCCAGTACTGGAAGATCAGGGTAGTATTTATGTGGACTTTCTATGGATCTAGTTTTGCCTAACACGAATAGTTAAATTATTATACTCAACAATTGATCCACAGAATAATAGTCTTTCAGGTATGGAAGGGCTTAAATGCAATCACCCAACTAATGCTTAACGTTACTCTAAAATATTCACAGTAATTTAAAGGGATTTACCTACCTATGCTTGACTAACTCCAGTGACAAAAAACCCCAAAAACTCATTACCATTTGAAACTCCCACCCATCCCCCTGCCTGACAAATCTCCACTTAGATTTGTAGAACTCCAATTGTAATTAAATTAGACCTTCTATAACGACCACAGATCTTTTTAAAATTGCGATTTTGATTTTAAAACTATGTCATATTCACAGCTCCTAGAAATATAACTATAAATAAATATAACTTATTAAGCAAAATAATAGAATAGAACCATGCCACTGCATCTATTTACTTGCTCTTTTCAATTTTCTCTGATGTTTCTATGCCTGGAAGTGACCACTATTGTGAATTTTGTATTTAATATTTTTAAAAATTTTATCACCAAAGTATGCATCTGTAAACAATGTATTATGTGATTTTGCTTGTTTTCTAATTTTATACAAATCATATCAGCCTTTAAGTAGTGTTTTGTTACTTGCCGTTTTAAACTAATTTGACATTTTTTCTTTTCATATTTTTAAGTTTAAATTCAATTAATTAACATATAGCTTATTATTAGTTTCAGAGGTAGAGGTCAGTGACTCATCAGTCTTATATAATACCCAGTGTTCATTACATCACATGCCCTCCTTAATGTCCATCACCCAGTTACCCCATCTTCTCCTTCCCCTCTGGCAACCCTCAGTTTGTTTCCTATGGTTAAGAGTCTCTTATGGTTTGTCTCCCTTTCTGATTTTGTCTCGTTTTATTTTTCCCTCCCTTTCCCTGTGATCCTCTGTTTTGTTCTAACTACATTTTTAAGAACCACTCATTTAGGTGGTGGCTCAGCGGTTGAGCACCGCCTTCAGTCCAGAGAGTGATCCTGGAGACCCAGGATGAAGTCCCAGGTCTGGCTCCCTGCATGGAGCCTGTTCCTCCCTCTGCCTGTGTCTCTGCACACCCCCGCCCCCTCTCTGTGTCTCTCATGAATAAATAAATAAATAAAATCTTAAAAAATAATACAACTATTAAAAAAGAACCACCCATTTACTGTGTTATATGTAGCTGTAGTTAAGTATTTTTCATTACCTATAATATTCCACTGTACAAATTTGCTACAATTTATGTCTTCATTTTTATATGATCTCTCTCTATCCCATGGTCAGAAAAATATTGTTTTGTTTTTTTCTAAAAATTTTATAGTTTTTCCCTGGACATTTAAGTCTTTAATGTGTTTGATAGTGATAATCGTGTGTAGTATATGAATCAGGAACCGACTTTAAGTGTTATCCAATGACACAGGGTTTTTATTCACATGAGTAAACAATTATCCCAGAAGCATTTATTGAATAGGCCCCTTTCCCCTCTTATCTGTAAAAACTATTTTTCTCATATCTCAGTAACTATTTTGCGTTGATTTGTGTTTAAGCTCTTTTACATATAGTCCATTGGCCTTTTTATCTACCACCTGTGCTATACTTAATTACTTGAAATTTAAGTTTTGATATGTTTTGATACATATTGTAAGAAAATACCTTTCTCTTATTTCTTATAGTAGTATCTTGCCTATTTTGGACCTTGGTTATTCCATATGAGTTTTAGAATCAGCTTATTGAATTTATTGAAAAAACTCTGATAGAGTTTTATTTGGAATTATGTTGACTGTATAGATTAATTTTGAGAAAAATTGTCACCTTGAAGATATTAAGTCTTCCTATCCCTAATTGTGGTTTATTACCATCTTTCTGGGGCCTTCATTGGTGTCTTTCAATAAAGTTTGATACTTTCTCTATAAAGGTCTTAATATCTTAAAGTTATTTCTAGGTAACATTTACATGTCTTTTGCTATTGTAAATAATACCAATATTTAAAATAACACTTAATGTTGGTTATCACATTGTGAGAATGCAATTGACTTTGGAATATTTATCTTATACCTAATTGCTTTGCTACATTTCTATATAGAATATCAGTCACATCTAAACAATCACACATATATAATAGGTGTATTATATATGTAATAGGTATATATGAGTCTATTTCTTCTTTAATTTCTTCCTTCCTCCCTCCATGTTCTTCTTTCTCTCTCTCCTTCACTCTGCTTTTAGTATTTTCTTTGAAATATTTTTTTAAAATTTTTATGTATTTATGATAGTCATAGAGAGAGAGAGAGAAAGAGAGAGGCAGAGACATAGACAGAGGGAGAAGCAGGTTCCATGCACCGGGAGCCCGACGTGGGATTCGATCCCAGGTCTCCAAGATCGCGCCCTGGGCCAAAGGCAGGCACTAAACCGCTGCGCCACCCAGGGATCCCTCTTTGAAATATTTTTAAGACAATTTTATATCTGTCCCTTTTTATTGAAGTGCAATCGACACACAGTGTTACATTAGTTTCAGGTGTATGACATGATTCAACAACTCTGTGTGTCATACTATGCTTACCATAGTTGTAGCTGCTATCCTTGGCAACACTTGTTAGCTTTTGTCTTTTTGATACCAGCCATTCTGATAGGTATAAGGTGATATCTCATGGTGGTTTTGATTTGAATGATTATTAGTAATGCTGAGCATATTTTCATATATTTATTGTGTATGTATGTCTTCTTTGGGAAAAGATCTAGTCAATTCCTCACCCATTTTTTTAATTGGATTATTTCTTTGGTGTTGGGTTTTATAAGTTTTTTAAAAATATATTTTGGATATTATCTTCTTATTGAATATATCACTTACAAATGCATTCTCCCATTCAGTACAGTGCCTTTTCATTTTTTATGGCTTTCTTTGCTGCACAAAAGTTTTTCATTTTGACATAGTCCCAATATTGTGTTTTTGCCTTTGTTTCCTTTATCTGAGAAGAGTTACCTAGAAAAATGTTGCTAAGGCTGATGTCAAACAGATAGATTACTGCCTATGGTTTCATCCGGGAGTTTTATGGTTTGGGGTCTCATATTTAGGTCTTTAATATGTTTTGAGTTTATTTTTGTGTACGGTGTTAGAAAGTAGTCCAGCTTCATTCTTTTACATGTAGGTGTCCAATTTTCCCAATACCATTTATTGAATAGACTTTTCCTCCATAACATATCCTCTCTTATCATAGATTAATTGACCATAGAAGTGTGAGTTTATTTCTGGGATCTCTATTCTGTTCCATTGTTTTATGTGTTTATTGCGAGCCAGGATCATACTGTTTTGATTATTATAGCTTTGTAGTATAGCTTAAAACCTGGAATTGTGATACGTCGAGCTATGTTCTTTTTTCTCAAGATTGTTTTGACTATTTGGGGTCTTTTGCAGTGTTTCCTATACTTCTAAGACTATTCCTTCTAGTTCTGTGAAAGATGTTACTGATAATTTGATAGGGACTGCACT